AAAGCATAGATAAACTACGACGCAACTAGATAGAAAACTACTCCAAGTCGCTATCCTCATCACCATCATCATACTCGTCGGTGTCGTCTGAGGTATCGAGCCATATGTCCAACCAACGATCATCGTTTTCCGTGAAGAACGACCTCCCACCTGCTGCAACGATATCCGACCGCGCATTCGCCAATGCCTTCCGTCGACGCCTCTCCACCCGCGAATTGTGGCGCCTTCGCGTGTCCTCCTCGCGGCGCCTTGCCCAGTAGGATTGCTCGTGGGCGATGTCCTCCGGGTGGCGCCGGCGCCACTCCCCCATGACCAGCTCGTCCTCCTGGGCGAGGAGGAGGCGGCACTGCCGCTCAGCGTGCTCAGCACGGTCTTCTGCCGTGTTAAGACGAGCCGGCGGGGCGACGTCCAGTGCCTGCTGGAGCGTGTAGACGTCCTGGAAATTCATCTGCCTGCGCGGCCTGCCTAGGCGCCACGCCGTCGCGTCATACGCGCGGGCGGCCTCGTGCGCCGTCTCGTAGGTGCCGAGGCCGAGCCGGAGTTCACCGGAGCGTATCTCGGAGTAGTAGCCACAGTTGGGACGCAGGCGGACGCCGCGGAAGCCCGACGCTCCTCGACGGCGCGGCGGCATGGTGGCGCGTCGGATGGCGGGGCGCTGGAGCGGTGGAGGCGCGCGTGGCAGAGGAGGAGGAACAGGCGCGTGGCAGAGGAAGTGGAGAAGGCGCGTGGCGAGCGCCGCATTTTATAGGCGCACCGGAAGCGGTGCGCCAAAAATGGCGCGCGAGCGGTCGCCTTTTCGCGCGCACGCGCAAACGGTTCCCGCGCACGAGTTTCCAGCCACCGCTGGAACGCGGCAAAACGTTCCGCGCGCTAAAAGCTGGATTTACCGCGCGCGCATGTCTTTTCGCGCGCCTGTTGGAGATGCTCTAAGGGACGGAGTGCAAAATTACCAGACTGAACTGGCCGAGAAAGAAAGGCCCATCATCAAATTTTGAAAGGGAGACTTCTATTTTGTCCAGAGCAGCTTCTATTGACCAGCAATGAATCACAGGTTAGTAATCAGCATGAACATATATTTATAGTTGAATTTCAACAAGTCTTCTTAGCTCTTGCCAGCATCAGCAGTCACTGCCCCTTTGGTAGTCAATGCCGACATCATCGCTTGATTGAAGGTGTCTGAATAAGCCAGCAGTTCTTCTGCAAGCCCTTGCTTTTCAGGATCCTAAGGCCATCAATATTTTTTAAGAGAAGAATCATGAGGTCACCAATGACCAATGGGGAGTGCATGCTATTGCAGCCTTTAAAGACAAAATGAACTCACATCAGGACTCAGTTTGGGGCCTTCGAAATTGCTGTCTATGTACTTGATCAAATCCAAGCTCTCTCCTATCATTTTGTTGTTGTGCTCTAGGCAGGGTACCTTGTCGGAGGAAAAAGAAACATCTTAACACTCGATAAGAAAAAGAACTTTACCTGACAATCTAAATAGGAGACGCTATGTATTTTAGTCTAGCCAGTAGCCACACCTGATAGTGAGTGGAAGTGTATCGGTATTCCCATTCCCCATCATAAGCTAACAAATAGTGAGTGGAAGTGTATCGAGGATCGGTTTAAGAAGAAACTGAGTTGCTGGAAAGGAAAACTCATGTCTTATGGAGGCCGGTTGATTCTTATTAACTCGGTGCTCACGAGTTTACCTATGTTCCTCTTATCCTTCTTTGAGGTCCCAGTTGGGGTTAGGAGACGGCTGGACTTCTATCGATCTCGATTCTTTTGGCAGAGTGATGAGCTTAAGAGGAAGTACAGACTGGCCAAATGGGATATTATCTGTCGACCAAAGGACCAGGGGGGCCTTGGTATTAAAAATTTTGAAGTCAAGAACAGATGCCTGCTCAGTAAGTGGCTGTTTAAGTTGTCTTCTGAGACGGAGGCAACGTGGGCGCAGATTTTACGTAGTAAATATCTGCAGTCCAAGACCCTGTCCCAGGTCACTCTAAGACCAACGGATTCGCCGTTCTGGAAGGGACTCATGAGAATCAAAGCTGCTTTCTTTAACAGAACGAGGTGTATTGTCGGTAATTGTAATAATACGCGATTCTGGGAGGATACGTGGCTTGGCGACACGCCATTGGCGACCCAGTATCCGTCCCTATATCGTATTGTTCAGCGTCGTGAGGTTCTTGTTGCCACAGTTATGCAGTCCATTTCACTCAACATTCAGTTCAGGAGGGTGCTTGTGGGTGATCGATGGGAAGCATGGCTTCACTTGGTCCGTAGACTGATGGAGGTTCAGTTAATTAACTCCTCAGCCCGATCAGTTATGTTGGAAGCTTACTAGATCTGGGGAGTTCACAGTTAAATCGATGTATATCGATATCATTAACTCTACTGTGATTCCTAGTTCCAAAGAGGTTTGAAAAGTTAAGGTCCCTTTGAAGATTAAAGTGTTTATGTGGTTTGTGCATAAACAAGTAATTTTAACAAAAGATAATTTAGTTAAGCGCAACTGGACAGGTTCTATTAGGTGTAGTTTCTGTGATCGGGACGAGACTATCAAGCATCTCTTTTTTGACTGTCCGTTGGCACGAGGGCTGTGGCGCTCCGTGCAAATTGCCTTTAACATTACTCCTCTGACTTCGGTCAACACGTTATTTGGGGCGTGGCTTGCTGGGATAGAGTCCGAAACAGCTAGACACATTCGTGTAGGAGTATGTGCGTTGTTATGGGCAGTTTGGAATTGCAGAAATGATTTGGCCTTTAACAGAACAACAACTATTCATTTTTTGCAGGTTTTATTCCGGACTACTGCACTGATCCGTATGTGGTCCTTACTCACTCCGACAGAGGCCAGGGAGCGTTTGGTTACTGGATCTGTCCGGTGGGAGGTGGTAGCGCGGGATATCTTCAACCGGTTTGGATGGCGGTCATGTAATAGGATAGACAATTAATTTATCTATCTTTTATTTTGCCTGCCGGTTGTGGCTTTTGGGCTCTTTGTTTTGGCATTGAAGCTCTGTGTGAGTTCGCCGTTGCTTATGTGCAAACGTTAAGACCTTATTGAACCTTATTTACTATTTAATAAATATGGTCGTATGCATCGTTCTGATGCAGAGGCCGGGGAGTCCCCTTTTCGAAAAAAAAGTAGCCACACCTGATTTTTGGGGTAAATCTTGCTGAGCCACACTGGCCTATCATCCAAATCGATGGGGACGAGCAAGATCTTGTGCTGCAAACCCTGGTACCGGAAACAAATCGAATTACAAAAATCACAACACGGAGTGAACCTAACCAAAGAAGACAACAACTCATGTGGAGGGAAAAAGAGCATCGATGATGGGAAGATGAGCTCGGTTGGTACCTTGCAGTTCCTCGCGATCCACGCCCGCTGCGCATACGGGCAGACATACGTCATGTACAACCTGTAATCCCAGCTTCTCACACATGAGCACAGAGATATGCCAAAATGAACATGAACATGTAGATATCGGTGCCCGCAGAAAAGATCATGTAGATATCGAGTGAGCTTAGGGTGCTACATATTTGAGGAAAGGAAGTTTCGGAGAAGAAAGCAAAGTAAGCAGACAACCTGGTTGAGCCATCGTAGAGAGGTGGCTGAGCAGCAGCGGATGTCAAGGTAGGCGGGAGAGCTTCCCCTGCAAACCTACAGATTTTTTTTTGAAACGGAGGCAAAAGATTTGCCTCATCGATTAATTAAGTAGAAGAGAATTGCTCAGTTAATTAACGGAAAACCGAGCGAAAACCGATACAAACTAACCACATGCGGATTACTCACAGAGCATACAACTCCAGAAGCGCACGATCAGCCCTACAAACAAACCCAACATGGAACGATCATCAACCTCCAAACTACTACATCGCAAACAAACCCCTAACAAGAGCACCTCCGCCGAAGTCCACAAAAAAACCTACAGATTTTTCATAGAGCAATCAGCGAGCGATCATAGAGTAGAAAATCCAACTAGTGATCACGCGCGGTAGCAGAGTAATTTTAGGGAAGGAGCTGTGCAGTACGTACTTGTTTGCTGGAGACGCTGCCATTGCGACCAGCAGCTAGTGATCAAGGAGCTCGGGACGCACAAAATGTACTAGTATACATTTTTGTAAGCGTATATAAAGCACTTCCGCTATGCGAACTGGTAAACGGAAGTAGGGCTGAAGGTGGGGCTGATGGAGAAGTACGAAGAAAACTTTGAGCGAGCACAGACGTCAGCTGTGACGGCCGAGCCAGCGTGAAAGAAGAAGAAGAAGAAGAAGAAGAAGAAGAAGAAGAAAAAGCGAGCGGTAATGGCTGAAGCCATGTCACGGCGGTTCGTGCCACAATATAGGCCGCACATACGCCGGAGACGATTAGTCTTTTTTTTTTCCGGGTAAGGAGACGATTAGTCTTTAGGCGGCATCGTACTGTTGTAGTCGATGGTTGAAAACATGCCGAGGACACTGACTTCAACTCGTTTGGACAGTGACTTTGGTCGGTAGCTCTTTGAACGTAGTGTACACCAAGCAAGCCAATTAGGAACCTCGTACGGGGAGGAAACTACGAGGCACCGACATAGAGCGATTAAAGATAGGTTGTGGCATTGCCATTATCAGATATGAACTGATTAAGTACGCATTCCCACCACGCCTGAGCGAACGCATGAATCTGTATGTAGTCGATGCTGCTAGCAACCCCTTAATATGTATGATCAGTACACGTGTGGACAACTAAAGTTGATAGAAGAAGAAAGGAGCACCAGTTCATTAAAAACAACTTCACGAGCATTCAACACAACCCAGAAGGCCAGAATAATCCTTCTTCAGGTGACAATATAAGTTTACAATAAGATCCGGTTTGTCTGTCTGTCTGTTTATTCTAAAAGCATGGCCTATATGCATGGCGCGCATTTTTTATTCAAAATATGTTGCAACACCCCCGAGTCTAAATCTGCTATTCTGCAGCATTCCCTGGCATGCATATTTGGTTATCCTTGGTCACATCTTCAAGCAATCTGAAAAGTTAAAATAGCGTGTAAGCTTGGGATTGGAAAATAACACGAACCGACACCAAGATATAAGGAAATGTCGTACGCCAAACTTCTCCTTCATTTGATCAAGCAGAAACTGCGGGTCCAGTTTTGTCTGTGTATATGCGTCGACCTTGTTCACTTCCTGTAACATACCGAATTGGAGAACTGACATGAGATTGAGTTTCATCAGAGTGTACTAGGGGTATGTTACACTAACAGACAATGTGAATAATCTCATCTAGCGTCATCCTGAATTACTTACCTCAATGAATTTGTGCAGGTTGGGCCTGCCCTTGGCGAGATCATCCTTCTTGATACCAGAATAGAATATTTGAAACCTTTCAATGAATGGCACATATGCAACGTCCACCTAAAAAACACAATTCTTTTCATAATTCTACCAAATTTGGGCACGGCTAAGGGAACAGGAAAGGATTCCAGGTGGAGTCACATACCAAACTGAACTGGCCAAGGAAGAATGGGCCGTCGCTGAACTTTCCCAAGGCAGCTTCTATTTTATCCACAGCAGCAGCTAATGGAAGGCATGACATGAGAATATTACATTATGAGTATATAAACTGGTCAGAATATTTTCATATAGAATTTCTCAAACAAATGTTACAGAGATTGGTATGCTCTTTTTACCGGCTTCATCTGACACATCTCCCTTGGAGCGTAAGCATGAGAAAAATGCACTATTAAACCCATCGCTGAACGCAAGCAGTTCCTCAGCAAACTGCTTTTTTGCAGAATCCTACCAATTTATATGAACACAAACTGTAATACCACTGACAAAATTTTGCACTGTTTTTACAAGCATTGCACATATGAAGACTGATTGGATATATCTGCCTTACATCAGGCAGCAATGCTGGGCCATCAAAATTGCTGTCAATGTATTTGACCAAATCCAAGCTCTCTCCTTTCACCTGGTTGTTATGCTCCAGGGCAGGCACCTGGTCAGATTATAAAGGAAGCGTGCATGAATAGAAACAATAAACTGCAGTAAAAGATTTTCCTTGTACATACAGGTGAGAAGTAAAAGAGATCAATCATACTACCTTGTTCTCCGGGTAAACTTTCTCCTTGTACCAAGCTGGCCTGTCTGCCAGATCTATGGCAACTACCTTGATCTCGTGTTGTAAACCCTGGACAAAATGATACAGAAAGAAGATTCAACTTAGCATAAGACCACTGAAGGCATAAAAAAAGAACTAGCAAGAGCTAAAAAAAAATACAAGATCGATGAGCTGAAAGTATGGGCTGCGTCTGTGAATCAAAGAACACTCGATACCACTGGCACTACCTTGCAGTTCCTGGTAATCCAAGCGCGCTGCGCGTACGGGCAGTGATATGCAAGATACAGCCTACACGAAGCAAATAAAACACGAATTTAGCCCTTGATCTGTGCAGAATTGAAAAGTTATAGTAAGATGCATCCGCAGTGCAATTTGGCCTCTTCTTGTGTGGTTAGATTTTTACCTGGTGGTGCCGTCGAAGAGCGGAGGGGGCTCGGAGGCGGAGGTCAGTGGAGGGGGGAGATCTTCCTTCGGGGAGCTGCGCATATGTGTTTATAAGTATATAAGTATTAAATTATAAGAAAGGCACAATCGAGTAATTTAGTCGAGATGCGGAACGGCCAGAGCGTCAGGCTACATCACTGCACCAAGATACTGTGCCCTGCTGCTTCGCTCACTCACATGATCGGTGGAACGGCGGTTGCCATGGCGACGGTTCGGGAGGAATGTCCCGCCGGTGCTGGGGGACGGGAAGGTGGGAATGGGAGATGGAGGAGGAGGAGGCAGGCGTCGGCAGTGGTGACGGGCAGCAAGGGGAAGCGAGTGCAATTATTCACGGCAGGGCAGGCATCAGCAGAAATGTGGACCCGACCGCTGGATGGATGGGCCTCGCCTATAGACGCGATCATGGCGCGTAGGATAGGAGCTCATCTCAACCTTCCGTTCCGTGCGGCACTCCTTCAACGTGTTTCACGGCGCGGATGGCATCTGCACGCCGTACCGTACACTGAGGTGAGGTCCCAGGGAACCGATGCAAGCTGCTGGTGACTGATTTTTCTTTTCGGGGAATTTCAGAGAGCTTTATTCAACAAAAGCATTCGCCGAACAGTCAACCAACAGGCTGCTGATCAGGAAGCTAGGGGTCATCTCGAGCCAGCTCTCAGTCACATTAAGCGTACTCGCATGCTTAGCACAAAGATGTGCAGGACCGTTTGCCGCTCTTATTACATGCTGAATTACAAAAAATGACAAATTAAGAGAGAGCTCTCTAATTTCTACTAAGATAGGTGCTACAATCGAGCGGTCATCGTAGCGATTGTTCCAGAGGTTAACTGCCTCTAGACAGTCCGTCTCAAGGATCACCTCCGTGAAGCCCCTCAGACGAGCAAAGATCACACCCTCTTTCATGGCTTGAACCTCAGCAATTAGTGGGTCCGATACACCCAAGTACGGCTTTACACCAAGCTCCCAAAAAGGCCGAATCTGATCTGGCAACCCCTCCAATACCCGCTATGTTGTCAGCTGAGTTGATCGAGGCATCTGTATTGATTTTGATGATGCTTCCGTCGGGCGGTTGCCAACCATAGCCTGGTAGTAAAGTGCAATGCTGCCTGGGAAGTTTGAGCAACACTAGATCTTCTCTGGTCTGTCTCACTGAACTAGCAGGATCGATCTTCACGTCATCATGTATCCATCTATTACGTGACATCCAGATGGACCACATAACAGTGATGATTATGGCGCGTTCTTTGTCCAAGAACCGTTGTTCACACAGTATATCTCTTGCCCAGGTATCTGGATGGAGTCGGGGTAGAGAGACGTCAAACAATAATCTAGCTTCCTCCCAGAACCGGCAGGCGTGAGAACAATGGATGAGGGCATGTTGGAGGTCCTCCTCCATTGCTAAGCAAATCTTGCATATGCTCACCTCCTTTATATGTCTCCGTTTAAGGGTGCATTCATCAGGGATTATTCCCCTAATGACTCGCCACCAAAATACCCTCACCTTGGGCACAACCTTGAGTTTTCAAAGGGAATTCCACATCTGTTCTTCTGTCGTTGATGGTCCCGTTACCTGCCCCTCCTCTAGAGCTACACGCTCTTTGTGACTCACGAGAGCACGGTAAGCCGATTTAACAGAGTAAATTCCTGAGGTCTCATGCGCCCAGGCAAGAAAATCCTCACCTCCACCTCGCCGAATTGGAATGTTTAGAATGGCTTCTGCATCAGGTGCAATGAAAGTGTCTCGCACAAGATCCCGGTCCCACGTCCATTTGCTATATCAATCAAGTTGCTGACCCTCTGAACATGTGTATTGGCCGGTTTGAACATTGGCGACATAGTTGCTGTAGATGGTATCCATTTATCCTCCCAAGCCGAGATGGATGTTCCATCACCAACTCTCTTCAACAATCCCACATTGAGTGCTTCACGTCCTGCAATGATCGCTCACCATGTGGTTGATGCAGACTTTGGAATAGTGGCATGCATGAACTCTGTATCATGAAAATATCTGCTCTTCAAAACTCTGGCACATAAGGAGTTAGGGTCTGTCATTAATCTCCACCCATGCTTCCCTAAAAGTGCCAGGTTGAACAGTCGTAGGTCCCGGAATCCCATTCCGCCCTTAGATTTTGGTGTAGCTAACTTGTCCCAAGCAATCCAATGCAGCGATTTCCTATCCAATGAACTCCCCCACCAGAATTTGGCCATACTTGAGGTTAAGTTTTTGCACACTTTCTTCGTCAGGAGGAAACAACTCATACTAAAAGTCGGGATAGCCCGAACAATTGACTTTAGAAGCGTTTCTCTGCCTGCACATGCAAACAATCTCTCCGACCATCCGCTCATGTGACCTCTGGCTCTTTCCCCAATGTGATCGAAGGTACCGCTGGTGATGCGTCCGACCGCTGTGGGAAGACCAAGGTAGCATTCTGAAAATGCTTCAACATGCACGTCCAGAAGTTGTTTCAAATGATGTCTGAGTGTCTCAGGTGTGTTAGGAGAAAAATAGATGGAGCTTTTACTTCTGTTCACACACTAACCTGAGGCCTCACCGTAAATCCGGAGGATATCATTCAATCTAATAGCACTGTCTGTATTCGCACTGATGAAGATGAGACTATCATCGGCGAAAAGAAGATGATTCACCCACGGGGCTATGAAGTTAGCGCGGATTCCTCGATCGACATTGCCATAGAACTTCAAGAGGGAGAAGAGGCCCTCGGCACATAATAAAAATAGGTATGGTGACACGGGATCGCCTTGCCGAAAGCCTCTGGAAGGGGTGAAAAACGGTAATAACTCTCCATTGACCCGAACAGAATAGGGAACTGAAGTAACACACTTCATAATTAATCTGACCAAGGCAGCACCGAATCCTAGCCTCAGCAACATAGCCTCCAGAAAATGCCATTCTACCCGATCATACGCTTTCATCATGTCCAACTTGATTGCGCATGAGAAATTCTTTCCTTTCTTCCTTCTTTTCATCGTGTGAACACTTTCAAAAGCAACCAATACGTTATCTGTGATCAAACGACCCGGAACAAAGGCACTTTGCTCCTCATTGATAATATCATCCATGCAAGGTCTCAAACGATTTGTGAGAGCCTTGACAGCAAGCTTATACAACACCTGGCATAATGCAATTGGACGATATTGTGTGATATTTTGTGGGTTACGCACCTTGGGGATTAGTGTTATCAATGTGTCGTTCAATCCTGCCGGTAGGTCACCACCATTCAGAAAATCAAGCACAGCCGGAATGACCTCATGTTGAAGTAGCTTCCAATGGCGCTGAAAAAATCCTGCTGTAAATCCATCGACACCCGGCGCTTTTGAGGGCGCCATTTGAAATAGTGCCTTATGGATCTCAGCTGCCTCGAACGGCCTCTCCAGTAGTTGGTTCATTTCCGGAGTGACCCGAACTGGTACATGCGATAACAGCTCATCCATGTTACTGTGTCCTTGGGAGGTATAGAGAGCTTGGTAGAAAGCCCTCACCTCTTCCTTGTCCTCATCACCATTCACACAGGTGGAGCCATCAGATCTCTGGAGATTACATATTCGATTGATGCGCTTCCGTTGCTTCGCCTGTGCTTGGAAATAGGCCGTGTTACGATCTCCTTCCTTCAACCAAGGGACGCGAGATCGTTGTTTCATCCATATTTCTTCCAATCGAAGTGCCTCTCTGAGCTTTGCCATAGTTCATTTCTCCTCCTCAGACGGGCCCCGACCGATGGACTGTTCCCGTAATCTAGACAGTCGTTTCCTCAATTGTCTGACTGTCCTTGAGAGGCACCCAAATTCACGTGCCCCCCATGGTGCAAGCTGACGCTGTAATGCACCTAGTGAGTCCAGTATGCCATTCAAACCTGGCGCCCGGGATTGATTTCTCCAGGTCTCCACTACCAGTTGCTCATAGTCGCTATGAGATTGCCAAACATTCTCATACCGAAAGGGTTTTGGTACATGAGAGTTGTTTCCGATCGCATAGTGGCGAAATTCTGCAACTACAAAACAGTGATCGGATTTCATCGCGCAAACATGCCGCACCCTCGTGTACTCATAGAATTGTCTGAATTCTTCATTGGCAAAAGCTCGATCAAAACGAGCTTTAACATTTGCATCTCCCGATGGTCGGTTATCCCAGGTGTAAGGGACACCGGTCCAACCCAAGTCCTGAAGAGCACAATCGTCTGTGACTTCCCTGAAGGCCCTCATCTGCCACTCCGGCCTTTCTGCACGGCTAATATGTTCATCAGCATACAAGGTTTCGTTGAAGTCACCCATACAAAGCCAGGCAGAATGTGGAATGTCATATAATGTTCGAAGAAAACACCAGCTATGTCTTCTGTCCTGTGCATTTGGTGCTCCATAAAATCCGGTGAATCGCCACTCCACCGAATTCGGGGTATCCTTCCGCACCACAACATCAATGTGGCCGGAACTATAGTTCTTTAGCTCAACTAAAACATCCTTAGACCAGAACAAGCCTATCCCTCCACTTAGGCCAACACTGTCCACCGCAAAGCTTCCAACAAACCCCAAGGTTTGTTTCAGACTCTCAACACGTTTCCCTCCAATCTTCGTCTCAGTGACAAAGAGGAGAACGGGCCCTTCCTGCTTCACAACACTAGAAGCTTGCGAACTGCCTCGGGGTTCCCAAGCCCCCGGCAGTTCCAGCTAATGATATTCATTGGGACGGGCAGGGCTAACCAGCAGCCGCTGCCAAATCTGAGTTGGGTGGTGTGGGTTTCTTTTTCTTCGAATCTCTCTTTGTGCCATCATCCTCCTCCTCTGTCCTCTTCTCCGCCAAGGTTGCATTAACCAACTCATCCGCATCTGAACCATGAGCCTGTTTCATTAGCAACGGTAGCTCAACCCGGTGATACACTTGTGCAGGTGGCCCTCCCTTTCTCTTAGGTGCAAAGTTGCGTTTCACTGGCGAGGTCACCTCCGTATCTTTTTCTGCCGAGCTAGAATTCCTTGTCTCTGCCTTGCTGGGCTTGGCCTGTTGTGACTTGGTGGAACTCTCGCTTGACGCCGTCCTCTTCTTCTCCTTCGATGGCCGCAGCCCTTTACCAAAAGGCAGATCGCCATGCTCATCTCTGTTGCCGGGGGTCGGACAGTAAAGATCAGAATGGCCCAAACGACCACACGAAAAACAAAAGTGGGGGATATTCTCATATTGGATGTCATACGGGTCAGTGCTCCCTCTCCTTGCCGATTCAATAAGAATCCATCTCCTTAATGGTTTGGCCACATCTAGTGTAACTCTGGCACGCAGGTAGCCACCACCATGATCAAAGTGGATAGAGGTAGCCCCTTTGTCAATCTGCTTGGCTATGGCTTTACTCCACTCCTCGCCCCGCAGGTTGAAGGGGAGATTTACTACACGTGCCCA